GTGCTCTTCCTCAATGTAAGAGAGAACGAAAAAAGATAGAAAAAGAGTTATTACAAATCGGCAAGATACCACTTCCAGAAAGTTAGGTAGCTATGGGTGTAACACACCGTCGTTGACGCTAGGTTGTTACTACTCAGCGACATGTTTGCCAGGTTACAAATGGTAGTCGTTATAACACATAGAACTAAAATACATGGAGCGCTACCTAAAGCTAATAATTGAAGCGAAAAGCCCAAATCTTACACCAGATAGGCGAGATTTTACCCCAGACACGCGTGCTTAGTGTTTTGAGACTCTCGCACAGAGTAATAATTGACTTCACAAGCGTGTCTGGTGTAAAATCTCGGGTTTCTGGGGTAAAATTACGGCTTCAAAAAATTATTAAGGTTTTGCTATTACAAGTAGCACTCCATGTATTTTAGTTAAATGTTATAACACCATCTGCAATCATGTCGCTATGTCGTTATGTTGTCGAGGTGTAAGGACCTAACGACGAAGATTACAAAGGTTTGATTAAATTATAATTGTTCTTTCTTAAAAAAATGGGTAAAAAAGTCGTTAAACTCTTTACTTAGGCATAATGAAATGAAAATGTCTCATGTTTTTGATCTAGGATAGTAAATGTAGTGTATTGTAAACAGATTCTGTGAAAATCATTGACGTTTTAGCATTTCGTAAATATTTACTCTAATAAAGCAAGGATGTTATTTACAAATGAAGTAATTCATGCACAAATTAATAAATAAAAGATGTTTACTGCATGTGTTTGCACAGTCTTATGCAATCCGAGGATACCTTTGGGAGAACTCGAGAGCAGATCAGTGCAAGCCCGAGACCGAATGTCTAGAGTTGCACATGCTCAAGAAGTTTTACCCCAGACACACTTGCAAAAGCCAGTGCAAACACGAAAAACATCTTTTATTTTTTTTAAAAAATAACAATAATGCAAAATAAAAACCGTTATAATATTCTTTTAACGTGCAGTCATGATTAATTTGCAAATTCTGTTTGATTGATTGATTGATTTGATTGGTTGAGCTTAGATCGTTTTCGCAAACTCATGCAAACACAGGTCTAAACCCATCAGCGCACGTGCTTCGTTGTGTTTATTTTATAATATGAAATGATGTCAAGTTAACGATACTTTAACGTTACATAACAGTATATTTTCTGAATTACCAAAACTTTCTGAGAGATACCGTACTCATCTGGTTATGATTCTTCACTGATATATGTCATGAGAAAGATAAACACTTTATTTTAGCTGTAGTCTGTACTAAGAAAAAGTTCAAAAAAATGAAATGTTTTCACTAATAATTTATAATTTGCATTCATTGTACAATCATAAACATTGCAATTGAAGAAATGGTACTCTATGTTGTGCTTGATGTTTGATAAATCATAAATGATTGGAAACATAATAATTCATGAATGCAATATCTGACGTCATTTTCTAAAATCGTCATCCATTTTGAGTGAGACAAAATGATTCTTAATTTTTATTTCGATATCATATTCCAAACATTTCTGATTCCTACAATGCATCAATTTATTGGTAAATCAATCTACAGGATTAACAAGTCCCAACGGAAAAACTAAATGTCAAGATTTACAATAGATTGATTTTAAGATTTCTTTTAATTACAAAGCTAGTCGAGGTTTGCCTCTCCTTTGGAAACACATCATAAACTGATTTTATTAATTTTATTTTCATGCAATCGCGGTCATCTCTGGTTGGTGGGCAGTACAAGTGGCATGGTAGGTAGCAATTGCCAGCATTGTCTTGCGGAATCCACGCAATAACTTTATGTAACTTCAAAAGAAAATCTTACGGCTTGATTTGTCAATTGTCAAAGATAATGTAATTCAGTAAATCATTTGATTTGTCAATAATATTTTATTCTTAGCAGAAATTAAACTTCATCATTTTACTTTTTATAGATTATGATAATATGTACATTTACTTTATATGATAATATGGTTGATTACAATTTGTTTACACGTAGTTTTGTATTACAGATACATTTCAACAATGGATAAAAATGTCAAACACACAGCATTTTCTACATAAGCTTTCAAATTTTCCACCACACTTTTTACGATCTTGGATTAGAATTAAGTTTTTAGTGTATTTCTTTGACATGATTCCCCATCACTAGGATCTTTCCTTATAGCCTATAAAATTTCATGAAATTTAACTCTTAGAAAAGCGCTTTCCTGCTTTTAGTCTATATCAAAGAATATAGGAAAACCATATCCATGATCTGAACGGAAAAAAATTTTGCAAATTTTGGCCAGTTTTAAGTTTTGTCCTTAAATACTACTTGTGTTTGCCAAGTCTTATTATGATTAAATCAAAACGTTTCATCCATTGGCATAATCATAGTATTTTTCCTTGGTAGCATTAGAAAGATGAAGCACGTCATTTTTTGCAATGAAAAGTAAAAGAACAAAATATAATCTTTCTTCCTGACGTGTTTATGAAGGAAAACTTCATAAACACTTCAGTAGCAAGTCCCAACAAGCTACTCTGGCTGATTTTGCTCGTTTCTCAATAACATCTGGCCATATTGATGTAATGATGAATGCGAAAATTAAGGAAATATTGATGCAAGAGAAAGCAGATGAAGAAAAGAACAAAGAAATTATGTTGATTCTTCTTGATGTGGCTCACACTCAGGCAAGCAGTCGTTGGCATGCAGAGGAGGCGGCAATGACAAGGACGAAAAATTCATTCAGATTGTAAATCTTTTTCCAATACATTCTCCTCTTCTCAAGCTGTGGCTGGACGATCAGCGCCTAAGGCCATATAGTACAACATACACAAGGTCAGAGGCACAAAATGAGATGCATCATTTGCTGGCTCAAACTGTGAGGGATGAAATTCGTGCTGAATTAAGTCAGCCGGTGTATTTTTAGTGTCTGCAGACACTACACCTAATACTTTGAATGAAGACATGCTTATCGTCGCTGTAAAATATGTCAACCATATGAGCATCCCATGCGAGAGACGGCTTGAAATGAAAGAGAGCCTTGATAAAACCGATGCTGGAGCGGCCAAAAGTGTCATTAAATCTTTAATAGAAAATGAAATCGATATAGATATGCTTGCATTTCAAACATACGATTTCGCAACATCAATATCTGGATAACTAAATGGTGCTCAAAAAGTGTTGCTAGAAATTTTAAAACGACAAGTGCCTTATATCCCTTGCCAGAGACATCGGTCTAATACATTCAACGAGCATTGTTGCAATTATAGCTCAATAATTACATCAACGTACGGCGCTCTAGATTACGTATATGTGCTCTTTAGCAAAAGCACAAAAAGAAATAAAATTGTAGAAGTAGGTTGCAAAGATGTTGAAAACAATTTAAAGTTTCGAAACTTGTCAAAGACAAGATCGATTTACAATTCTGTGTCCATTGATGCTGTCTGGAGAAGTTATGAGGTAATACCAAATGCTATTGTGAAAGTTATTAATGCTCGAGAAGTAGAATCAAAAGTAAAATCTAAAGGCCATTTTAATAAAAAAGAAATTTCTTAGTTTTGACTTTCTTTTTGCTCTTATTTTCATGCAAATCATAATGACAAAACCAATCCCTAATCAAACAACAGCAGGAGGAGGAGCTAAATATAATATATGCACTTAACCTGATTGATGCTACAGTAAAACTTAAGACAAATTAGAAGTGACGATAACGGATTACACTCAGAGATAGAGGCAATGGTTGCATTCGTTACCAAAGTAGGAATAGACGTAATGGCAGAATACACACGTCATCATCGATCAAGAAAGTCACCCAAACGAATTGGTGAGCATTCCGAAATAACAACAGAAAAACCTTTAAAGATTTGTACCAAAAGAAATGTACTTGGTTCTAGACTCACTTATTACCGAGTATACCATTATCATTAAAGTTTGCATCGACCAGATAATGCCTTTTGGAGAGAGCTTACAGCTGCCACTAGAAAGGCCGATGGCTGAATCAGTTCATGAAAAGTGTAGTCTTTTTCCACCGGCGGTATAAGATGTTGATGCAGAAATACTGCTGTCTGAGTTGGAAGTTTTCAATAATATTGTGTCGTCACAACTTAAATCAGAACCCAAATCCCTTCAAGACGTTGCGTTATTTGCTTTCAATCACAAAAACGTCTTTCCAATGGTGTGCAAGGCGTATCAACTATTGCTGACCGCTCCAGTGTCCGTTGCAAAAGATGAAAGGTGTTTCAGGAAGTATATGATTGTCAAAAACTGCTTGAGATGCACAAAGATAGATACGCGATTAAATGACTTAATCGTTCTTGCATGTGAAAAAGACCTTACGGACAATGTTGACTTAAATGTTATTTTAAAAAATTGGGCAACTGCAAGGATGCAAAAAATGACATTAAAGATTTAATAATACGCTAAAGTGCGTTCTGTCACAAGAATACAATATGTATTGCAAAAATATATAGCGAAAATCTTTTCAATCATCACAATATTTTATTGTTGAATAAGTACTAATCTATATGATCTGCAGGGCATCTTGTGTCCTTGCAGGGCAATTTTATCCCACCCCACCTCCCCACATTAAAAAGGTGCAAGTTTAACCCCTGTGCATAAGTTCTTAACCGGTTAACTTGCGAACTTTCCCCATTGGTTTCCCATTCAATCATTTCATTTTATTGCAATATGGTTAAACGACCCCATAACTTGTTGATACAGGCGTTCACTCATCTCTTCCGGGAATCTTTATCGCATTTTTAAAATAACTGTCAGAAATATGTTTCTGGTGCTCTCTAGGTATGGCCTAAATCTTAACGGTCAGTTAAAACCTTAAGATACACATGCCATTACAAGACATAAAATTACACTGGAGATGCTCCTTATTAATGTGCTGGTCAGTGGGACGTAAACAATCGATAATTTAAGGATTATCATATTCCTAGGTCTGGTATTTCGATCAATCAATTGGTTATGAATCGTTGTGTTATATGTATCGTTCGATTGTGATTATGGATCATATTGTATCACCAGCATCTTCATGGTACATACTGAATTATGCAATCCCCATCCTTTATGTAAACAACTCGAAATATTATTTTCATTTCCTACACAAGAAACATCATCCAACCATATTCTTCCACTGCCATCTGGAACATTAAATCCTGGTAAAGCACTGATAGCATAGTCATAACCAAGTTGTCGACACACAACTTTAGCATCGTTTATATCCCAGCCATCATCACAAATTGTTCCCCATTCTCCATTGTAAAATACTTCTACACGACCTTTGCCAATAGAACTTTCTGGTCCCCGAAGTCTAACAGAGTTGATAACTGATAAAAAAAGAAAATCAAGAGATAATGCAAAACATAGAAGTCTCATTTCCGAAATATTCCAAGTTACATGTATACATATAAACTATCCTAATGTGTTAGATGCCATTGTAAGATCTTCTTAGGAGAAATTAATGAATTAAATTAGTAACAAAAAATTGATAAAAAAACTTACATGAGTACAATATCAAAATGTTTTAGACAAGTAGACACTATTTGACTTTCATGAGTCTAACTAATTTTTTATTTAGATCAGTCCACATTTCTTTTTGTAATATAAATATCTTATTAACACTTTAACTTGCGAATGTTCCCATTAGTTTTCCATTCAATCAGTTTATTTTAATGCCATATGGTAACACTACCCCATAACTTGTTGAAACAAGCAAAAAAATAAAAAGTAAATTGTTCACATAGACTCTTCGCTTACAATGTAGAAAACTATATAGTATTTTTAAAATAACTGTCTTTTTAATTATTCAGAAATACGTTTCTGGTGCTCTTTATGCATGGCTTTAGCTGAACCTTAACGGTCAGTTAAAAACAAATTAAAAATGAATTCTTAAGATAGACAGCACGACATTAAAAGACATAAAATTACACTCAGTGTTAATTTGGAGATGCTTCTGTTAAATATGCAAAAAAAATTTTAATGGACCTTTATAAGCTACAGCCTACAGCTTTAAAAAGCTATAATGAATGTAAATAATCGTAAAAAAACAGATAATTTAAGGATTATTACAATCTTCCACGGAAAATTTGGTCAATGGACTGCCCTTTTTCTCGAGTATTATCGAATCTTTCTATGGGCTATCATAAAATAGGTTATGTTTAATTATGTCCTTGTGGAACGAGTTGTGTTTATATGGTTAATTTACGTCCGAAGCTGTGTTTATACTTAAGGAATTTGTCAATATTGTTTCTGTGTTTGAAAATCATATTAATGTTTCGATTAATCATTGAGGATCCTTCAAATAATTCAGTTTATTATCTTTGTAAACAGTGGCGTAGCTAGCGGTCCCGCTACTCCCGCTCGGCGGGAGTAGAAATTTCCCAAAAAAATAATAAATATTCTATTTGGACATAAGATATACATTATTTCACGAACAATTTGTAATATTATGTTTTATTTGTTCATATTTACGCTTTTATTAGGTGGTTCGTAATCGTAATACAGCAAAATCTCAAGATTTGTTATGTAACCTAGCAACCGCCTTTTCTCGCACATTGCATACTCGCGCGATTTTCACGTATTCCGCCCATCTTCAGAGGGCGGAACATACAATATAATTCTATATAAGAAGTTTTGAATTCTGGTTGGCTAAGGGACTTGACGCATGCTCAAATCTGCTGTTTTATAGTCGAACTCCCGCTATTTTAAATTGGCGGAGGTTGTAATTATTCGACCTTTTAATACGAGTACAGCGATTAGTGATTATCAAATTACGTGTCATTGTCGGTATTAATTTTCCATTGTGTTTACTCTCAAATTGCTATTTTGTATTTGTGTATGACACAATGGCTTCAAGTGCGACTGCGATTTGCTCAACTGATGTTGATTTAGTAAATAGCTTATTAGCTAAACCGTTCTCTGCTCGATCGTCGGTCGAACAGAATGTTATCGTTCATGAACGGCCTACTCCTGATTTAACTATCCAAAATAAGGGAAGAGCATTTCAGAGAGATTGGTATGAGGCGAAGGACTGGCTGTGTGGCAGTACAACCTTGCAGAAAGTGTTTTGTTGGCCATGTCTAATGTTTTCCCAAAAAACATCGCCATCGTGGACTAAGAATGGCTACAACGATATGCGGAGTATTATGTCTGATGCTAAGAAGCATAAAAATCTAAATCGCATTTGACTGCATTTAAGACATGGAAAACGTATGGAGCTAGTGAACGAATTGATTGTCTTATGTCCCTCGCTAGAAGAAATGAGATTCAGCGTCACAATGAGGAGGTAAGACAAAATCGAGAAATTTTAAAACTGTTACTGAGGCCGTGCTGTATTTGTCAAAGCAAGAGTTGCCATTTAGAGGTCACAATGAGTCCGAAGGTAGCTTGAACAAAGGTAATTATAGAGAGTTGCTCGAATGTTTTGCTAAGTTTGATTCTGTATTTGAGCGTCGACTGCACAGTAGACTAGCAGAATCTGATATAGTTGGTGACAGAAGATTTACTGGAGTCTCCCCAGAAATTCAAAATGGTCTTATCAGCTGTCTTGATTCAATTATTGAAGATGAAATCAGAAAGGAAATAAATGATTGCACATTTATGAGTATTCAGGTTGATGAAGCATCTGATGTCTCCACCAAAGAGCAGCTAAGTGTTATTGCTCGGTTTGACAAAGCAAGTGAAATTATGGAGAGGCAATTAGGATTTGTGGATGTAAGTATGAACAGAAATGCCACAGCAATATCACAAGTTGTCAAAGATAAACTTGGTGAGTATTCTAATATAAAAGAAAAACTGGTTTTACAAACATATGATGGTGCTTCTGTCATGTCTGGCCATATCAATGGTGTTCAAGCATTGGTTCGACAAGAGTATCCTTTGCTCATTTTGTTCATTGTGCAGCTCATAGATTGAACCTGGTCCTATGCCAGTCAGCCTCATCAATTTCTCCTGTTAAAATCTTTTTATTAATATAGCTACATTCAGCACATTTACAAGCAATGCCCCAAAAGAAAAGCTTTTCTCACATCTAACAACCTTGAGTTTCCTGCCCTGGTGAAACAAGATGGTATTATCGCTCTAGATTAATCAATGTATTGCACAAAACTATGAAAACTTTTAGATATTTTTGAGGGGTACTTGAACAACCAGCTGGGTGGGATGATGAGTCATTAAGTAAAATAAGTGGCTTACTGCATTATCTTGATAGCTTTCTCTTTTGTTTTCTAGTGTGTGTTTTTTACAGGATTTTAGAACAGTCCACAATTTTGTATTCCATTCTTCAAAATAGGGAAACCCATTTTAACTATGGCATAAGCAAGATTGACAATTTCAAGCAGTTTATTGTGTCACTTCGCACAGATCAAGCTTTCACCGAGTTTTACCAAACTGCACTAGAAAAGTAGGCCCACCAGCAACCAGAGCAGATAGTAGATACAATTACAAACAGCTTTATTTTGAGATTATTGATTCCATTAAAGGCATGTTAAGTGAACGATTTCAAGATATTAATCAGTTCGAGTTTTTAGACCTTGTAAATCCTAAACTATTTACTACATGGAAGGGCATAGTTCCACAGGAGAAGATCAATCTTCTCAAAGATAAGTATAGTCCTCTTTTGACATCCAAACTTTGGAGAGTCAACTTTCCTTCATTTACAACGACAAGGACTTTCACAAAGAGTGCAGTAATGAGGTTCTTAAATACATCTTCAAATTTAATCTCCAGTCGAGTTTAGGTCAAGTGGTAAATTTGTTAAAATTGAATGGTGTGTTGGCAGTGGCAAGTGCTTCAGTAGAGAGGTCGTTTTCTTGCTTAAAAGGGTAAAAGCTATTTAAGAAATAGAATGGGTCAAGGTCGGCTTAGCTCTTTGTGTAGAATATCTATTCACAAAGATATCATTGAAAAGAAAGAGGAATCAGAGGTGTTGCATAACGAGGTGGTTGAAAATTTGTAGAAAAACCCAGGAGGCTGGCCTTTCTTTATAAATGATGAGTATAGTATGTGTTTTGATATTTGTTCGTATAATACATGGTACTTCATTGAGAAAATTAAGCATAACTTTAAAGAATAAAGCCATCCCTGTCTACTTGCCCCAATCTAAACAAGTTTAAACTAACAAGTAGAATGCTAAGAAAATCTCTCTATGCACTTTAGAAGTGTCGTATACTATATTATTTTTGTGCTAATACAAATTTCTTCTGTTTATGCAGGGCAGTGATGAGTAAATTATGTTTTAGGGGACAATTGTCTCCTGCGTAACGTTTCTCTGAGCCACCTTTAGTACCTTTTAACTAGTTGCAGTTTCAACGATTGCCACATTAAGAATGCAGCTAACAAAAATGGGTTTTTATAAATTATTGTACAACAAATAATTCGCCCTCGAAATCGCAGGAAATGCTGTTTCCAAGGCTCTGGATTTCAAAATTTTCCGGGGGAGCATGCCCCCGGACCCCCCTAGTAGGGTCGCGCCTCCGGCGCAAGATGGATTGGCGGGAGTGACTATTTTTCCTAGCTACGCCACTGTTTGTAAATAAATGTAAATAATGTAGAAACAAACCTGAACATTGTATACCAGCATCTTCATCATGTGTACAATTATGTGATCCCCATCCACTATGTGAACAACTCGAAATATTATTTTCATTTCCTACACAACGAACTTCGTCTAACCATATTCTTCCACTGCCATGTGGAACATTACCTCCTAGTAAAGCCCTGACAGCATTGTCATAACCAAGTTGTCGACAAACAACTTTAGCATCGTTTAAATCCCAGCCATCATCACAAATTGTTCCCCATTCTCCATTGTAAAATACTTCTACACGACCTTTGCCAATAGAACTTTTTGGTCCCCGAAGTCTTACATGGTTATTAACTGATAAAAAGAGAAAATAAAGAGATATTCAAAACATAGAATTCTCAACTCCGAAATATTCTAAGTTACATGTATACATATAAAGTATCCTAATATGTTAGAGGCCATTGTAAAATCTTCTAAGGCGAAATTAATGAATTAAATTAGTAAGAAAAATTTGATAAAAAATATTACATGAGTACAATATAAAACGTTTTAGACAAGTAGACACTATTTGACTTTCATGAGTCTAACTAATTTTTTATTTAGACCAGTCCTCATTTCTTTATGTAATATAAATAACTTCTTAACCGGTTAACTTGCGAACTTTCCCCATTGGTTTCCCATTCAATCATTTCATTTCATTGCAATATGGCAAAACTACCCCATAACTTGTTGATACAGGAAAAAATAAAGAGTAAATAGTTCACTCATACTCTTCGTTTAAAACGCGGGAATCTTTATCGCTTTTTTAAAATAACTGTCTTTTTAATTATTGAGAAATATGTTTCTGGTGCTCTCTAGGTATGGCTTTAGCTAAATCTTAACGGTCAGTTAAAAACGAATTTAAAAATGAATTCTTAAGATAGACAACACGCCATTACAAGACATAAAATTACACTGCAGTGTAAATTTGGAGATGCTCCTTATTAATGTGCGAAAAAATTTTATTGGAGCATCATAAGCTACAGCATACAGCTTTAAATAGCTATAATGAATGTAAACAATCGTAAAAAAACTGATAATTTAAGGATTATCATATTCCTCCAAGGAAAATTTGGCCAATGGACTACCCATTTTCTCTGGTATTGTCGAATCTATCTCTGGGCAATCATAAAATTGGTTATGTTTAATTATGTACTCGTGGAACGAGTTGTATTTATTTGGTTAATTTACGTCCGAAGCTGTGTTTATACTTAAGGTATTTGTCAATATCTATTTCAGTATTATAAAATCATATTAAATGTTTCAATTAATCATTGAAGATCTCTCAAATAATTCAGTTTATCATCTTTGTTTAAAAATGTAAATAATGTACATACAAACCTGAACATTGTACACCAGCATCTTTATAATGTATACAATTATGCAATCCCCATTCTCTATGTGAACAACTCGAAATGTTACTTTCATTTCCTACACATTGAACGTTGTCTAACCATATTCTTCCACTGCCATAAGGAACATTACCTCTTAGTAAAGCCCTGAAATAATAGTCATAACCAAGTTGTCGACACACAACTTTAGCATCGTTTATATCCCAGCCATCATCACAAATTGTTCCCCATTCTCCATTGTAAAATACTTCTACACGACCTTTGCCAATAGAACTTTCTGGTCCCCGAAGTCTAACAGAGTTGAAAACTGATAAAAAAAGAAAATCAAGAGATAATGAAAAACATAGAAGTCTCATTTCCGAAATATTCTAAGTTACATGTATACATATAAAGTATCCTAATGTGTTAGATGCCATTGTAAAATCTTCTTAGGCGAAATTAATGAATTAAATTAGTAACAAAAAATTGATAAAAAAACTTACATGAGTACAATATCAAAATGTTTTAGACAAGAAGACACTATTTGACTTTCATGAGTCTAACTAATTTTTTATTTAGATCAGCCCACATTTCTTTTTGTAATATAATCATCTTATTAACACTTTAACTTGCGAATGTTCCCATTAGTTTTCCATTCAATAATTTGATTTTAATACTATATGGCAACACTGCCCCATAACTTGTTGAAACAAGCAAAAAAATAAAAAGTAAATTTTTCACATAGACTCTTCGCTTACAACGTGGAAAACTATATCGTAATTTTAAAATAACTGTCTTTTTAATTATTCAGAAATACGTTTCTGGTGCTCTTTATGCATGGCTTTAGCTGAACCTTAACGGTCAGTTAAAAACAAATTAAAAATGAATTCTTAAGATAGACAGCACGACATTAAAAGACATAAATTACACTCAGTGTTAATTTGGAGATGCTTCTGTTAAATATGCAAAAAAAATTTTAATGGACCTTTATAAGCTACAGCCTACAGCTTTAAAAAGCTATAATGAATGTAAATAATCGTAAAAAAACAGATAATTTAAGGATTATTACAATCCTCCACGGAAAATTTGGTCAATGGACTGCCCTTTTCTCGAGTATCGAATCTTTCTATGGGCTATCATAAAATAGGTTATGTTTAATTATGTCCTCGTGGAACGAGTTGTGTTTATATGGTTAATTTACGTCCGAAGCTGTGTTTATACTTAAGGAATTTGTCAATATTGTTTCAGTATTTGAAAATCATATTAATGTTTCGATTAATCATTGAGGATCCTTCAAATAATTCAGTTTATTATCTTTGTAAATAAATGTAAATAATGTAGAAACAAACCTGAACATTGTATACCAGCATCTTCATCATGTGTACAATTATGTGATCCCCATCCACTATGTGAACAACTCGAAATATTATTTTCATTTCCTACACAACGAACTTCGTCTAACCATATTCTTCCACTGCCATGTGGAACATTACCTCCTAGTAAAGCCCTGACAGCATTGTCATAACCAAGTTGTCGACAAACAACTTTAGCATCGTTTAAATCCCAGCCATCATCACAAATTGTTCCCCATTCTCCATTGTAAAATACTTCTACACGACCTTTGCCAATAGAACTTTCTGGTCCCCGAAGTCTAACAGAGTTGAAAACTGATAAAAAAAGAAAATAAAGAGATAATGAAAACATAGAATTCTCAACTCCGAAATATTCTAAGTTACATGTATACATATAAAGTATCCTAATGTGTTAGATGCCATTGTAAAATCTTCTTAGGCGAAATTAATGAATTAAATTAGTAACAAAAAATTGATAAAAAAACTTACATGAGTACAATATCAAAATGTTTTAGACAAGAAGACACTATTTGACTTTCATGAGTCTAACTAATTTTTTATTTAGATCAGCCCACATTTCTTTTTGTAATATAAATTATTAACACTTTAACTTGCGAATGTTCCCATTAGTTTTCCATTCAATCATTTGATTTTATTGCTATATGGCAACACTACCCCATAACTTGTTGAAACAAGCAAAAATAAAAAGTAAATTTCACATAGACTCTTCGTTTACAACGTGGAAAACTATATCGTATTTTAAAATAACTGTCTTTTAATTATTCAGAAATACGTTTCTGGTGCTCTCTAGGCATGGCTTTAGCTAAACCTTAACGGTCAGTTAAAACAAATTTAAAATGAATTCTTAAGATAGACAGCACGACATTAAAGACATAAATTACACTCAGTGTTAATTTGGAGATGCTTCTGTTAAATATGCAAAAAATTTTAATGGACCTTTATAAGCTACAGCCTACAGCTTTAAAAGCTATAATGAATGTAAACAATCGTAAAAAAGATAATTTAAGGATTATCACATTCCTCCACGGAAAATTTGGTCAATGGACTGCCCTTTTCTCGAGTATTATCGAATCTTTCTATGGGCAATCATAAAATAGGTTATGTTTAATTATGTCCTCGTGGAACGAGTTGTGTTTATATGGTTAATTTACGTCCGAAGCTGTGTTTATACTTAAGGAATTTGTCAATATTGTTTCAGTATTTAAAATCATATTAAATGTTTCGATTAATCATTGAGGATCCTTCAAATAATTCAGTTTATCATCTTTGTAAATAAAATGTAAATAATGTAAACAAACCTGAACATTGTACACCAGCATCTTCATCATGTATACAATTATGTGATCCCCATCCACTATGTGAACAACTCGAAATATTATTTTCATTTACACAACGAACTTCGTCTAACCATATTCTTCCACTGCCATGTGGAACATTACCTCCTAGTAAAGCCCTGACAGCATAGTCATAACCAAGTTGTCGACAAACAACTTTAGCATCGTTTAAATCCCAGCCATCATCACAAATTGTTCCCCATTCTCCATTGTAAAATACTTCTACGACCTTTGCCAATAGAACTTTCTGGTCCCCGAAGTCTAACAGAGTTGATAACTGATAAAAAAGAAAATCAAGAGATAATGAAAACATAGAAGTCTCATTCCGAAATATTCTAAGTTACATGTATACATATAAAGTATCCTAATATGTTAGATGCCATTGTAAAATCTTCTTAGGCGAAATTAATGAATTAAATTAGTAACAAAAATTGATAAAAAACTTACATGAGTACAATATCAAAACGTTTTAGACAAGTAGACACTATTTGACTTTCATGAGTCTAAATAATTTTTTATTTAGATCAGTCCTCATTTCTTTTTGTAATATAAATATCATATTAACACTTTAACTTGCGAATGTTCCCATTAGTTTTCCATTCAATAATTTGATTTTAATACTATATGGCAACACTGCCCCATAACTTGTTGAAACAAGCAAAAAAATAAAAAGTAAATTTTTCACATAGACTCTTCGCTTACAACGTGGAAAACTATATCGTAATTTTTGAAATAACTGTCTTTTTAATTATTCAGAAATACGTTTCTGGTGCTCTTTATGCATGGCTTTAGCTGAACCTTAACGGTCAGTTAAAAACAAATTAAAAATGAATTCTTAAGATAGACAGCACGACATTAAAAGACATAAATTACAATCAATGTTAATTTGGAGATGCTTCTGTTAAATATGCAAAAAAAATTTTAATGGACCTTTATAAGCTACAGCCTACAGCTTTAAAAAGCTATAATGAATGTAAATAATCGTAAAAAAACAGATAATTTAAGGATTATTACAATCCTCCGCGGAAAATTTGGTCAATGGACTGCCCTTTTTCTCGAGTATTATCGAATCTTTCTATGGGCTATCATAAAATAGGTTATGTTTAATTATGTCCTTGTGGAACGAGTTGTGTTTATATGGTTAATTTACGTCCGAAGCTGTGTTTATACTTAAGGAATTTGTCAATATTGTTTCAGTATTTGAAAATCATATTAATGTTTCGATTAATCATTGAGGATCCTTCAAATAATTCAGTTTATTATCTTTGTAAATAAATGTAAATAATGTAGAAACAAACCTGAACATTGTATACCAGCATCTTCATCATGTGTACAATTATGTGATCCCCATCCACTATGTGAACAACTCGAAATATTATTTTCATTTCCTACACAACGAACTTCGTCTAACCATATTCTTCCACTGCCATGTGGAACATTACCTCCTAGTAAAGCCCTGACAGCATTGTCATAACCAAGTTGTCGACAAACAACTTTAGCATCGTTTAAATCCCAGCCATCATCACAAATTGTTCCCCATTCTCCATTGTAAAATACTTCTACACGACCTTTGCCAATAGAACTTTTTGGTCCCCGAAGTCTTACATGGTTATTAACTGATAAAAAGAGAAAATAAAGAGATATTCAAAACATAGAATTCTCAACTCCGAAATATTCTAAGTTACATGTATACATATAAAGTATCCTAATGTGTTAGATGCCATTGTAAAATCTTCTTAGGCGAAATTAATGAATTAAATTAGTAACAAAAATTTGATAAAAAATATTACATGAGTACAATATCAAAACGTTTTAGACAAGTAGACACTATTTGACTTTCATGAGTCTAACTAATTTTTATTTAGACCAGTCCTCATTTCTTTATGTAATATAAATAACTTCTTAACCGGTTAACTTGCGAACTTTCCCCATTGGTTTCCCATTCAATCATTTCATTTTATTGCAATATGGCAAAACTACCCCATAACTTGTTGATACAGGAAAAAATAAAGAGTAAATAGTTCACTATACTCTTCGTTTAAAACGTGGGAATCTTTATCGCTTTTTAAAATAACTGTCTTTTAATTATTCAGAAATATGTTTCTGGTGCTCTCTAGGTATGGCTTTAGCTAAATCTTAACGGTCAGTTAAAACAATTTAAAATGAATTCTTAAGATAGACAGCACGCCATTACAAGACATAAAATTACACTGCAGTGTAAATTTGGAGATGCTCCTTATTAATGTGCAAAAAAATTTTAATGGAGCATCATAAGCTACAGCATACAGCTTTAAATAGCTATAATGAACGTAAACAATCGTAAAAAACTGATAATTTAAGGATTATTATATTCCTCCAAGGAAAAGTTGGCCAATGGACTACCCATTTTCTCTGGTATTGTCGAATCTTTCTCTGGGCAATCATAAAATGGTTATGTTTAATTATGTACTCGTGGAACGAGTTGTGTTTATTTGGTTAATTTACGTCCGAAGCTGTGTTTATACTTAAGGCATTTGTCAATATCTATTTCAGTATTATAAAATCATATTAAATGTTTCAATTAATCATTGAGATCCCTCAAATAATTCAGTTTATCATCTTTGTAAAAAATGTAAATAATGTACATACAAACCTGAACATTGTACACCAGCATCTTCATAATGTATACAATTATGTGATCCCCATCCTCTATGTGAACAACTCGAAATATTATTTTCATTTCCTACACAACGAACTTGTCTAACCATATTCTTCCACTGCCACGTGGAACATAACCTCTTAGTAAAGCCCTGAAATAATAGTCATAACCAAGTTGTCGACACACAACTTTAGCATCGTTTATATCCCAGCCATCATCACAAATTGTTCCCCATTCTCCATTGTAAAATACTTCTACACGACCTTTGCCAATAGAACTTTCTCGTCCCCGAAGTCTAACAGAGTTGAATACTGATAAAAAAAGAAAATCAAGAGATAATGCAAAACATAGAAGTCTCAACTCCGAAATATTCTAAGTTACATGTATACATATAAGGTATCGTAATATTTTAGATGCCATTGTAAAATCTTCTTAGGTGAAATTAATGAAGTAAATTAGTAACAAAAATTGATAAAAAAACTTACATTAGTACAATATCAAAACCGTTTAGACAAGTAGACACTATTTGACTTTCATGAGTCTAAATAATTTTTTAATAAGATCAGTCCTCATTTCTTTTTGTAATATAATATCTTATTAACACTTTAACTTGCGAATGTTCCCATTAGTTTTCCATTCAATCATTTGATTTTATTGCTATATGGCAACACTGCCCCATAACTTGTTGAAACAAGCAAAAATAAAAGTAAATTTTTCACATAGACTCTTCGCTTACAACGTGGAAAACTATATCGTAATTTTAAAATAACTGTCTTTTTAATTATTCAGAAATACGTTTCTGGTGCTCTTTATGCATGGCTTTAGCTGAACCTTAACGGTCAGTTAAAACAAATTAAAAATGAATTCTTAAGATAGACAGCACGACATTAAAAGACATAAATTACACTCAGTGTTAATTTGGAGATGCTTCTGTTAAATATGCAAAAAAAATTTTAATGGACCTTTATAAGCTACAGCCTACAGCTTTAAAAAGCTATAATGAATGTAAATAATCGTAAAAAAACAGATAATTTAAGGATTATTACAATCCTCCACGGAAAATTTGGTCAATGGACTGCCCTTTTTCTCGAGTATTATCGAATCTTTCTATGGGCTATCATAAAATAGGTTATGTTTAATTATGTCCTTGTGGAACGAGTTGTGTTTATATGGTTAATTTACGTCCGAAGCTGTGTTTATACTTAAGGAATTTGTCAATATTGTTTCTGTGTTTGAAAATCATATTAATGTTTCGATTAATCATTGAGGATCCTTCAAATAATTCAGTTTATTATCTTTGTAAATAAATGTAAATAATGTAGAAACAAACCTGAACATTGTATACCAGCATCTTCATCATGTGTACAATTATGTGATCCCCATCCACTATGTGAACAACTCGAAATATTATTTTCATTTCCTACACAACGAACTTCGTCTAACCATATTCTTCCACTGCCATGTGGAACATTACCTCCTAGTAAAGCCCTGACAGCATTGTCATAACCAAGTTGTCGACAAACAACTTTAGCATCGTTTAAATCCCAGCCATCATCACAAATTGTTCCCCATTCTCCATTGTAAAATACTTCTACACGACCTTTGCCAATAGAACTTTTTGGTCCCCGAAGTCTTACATGGTTATTAACTGATAAAAAGAGAAAATAAAGAGATATTCAAAACATAGAATTCTCAACTCCGAAATATTCTAAGTTACATGTATACATATAAAGTATCCTAATATGTTAGAGGCCATTGTAAAATCTTCTAAGGCGAAATTAATGAATTAAATTAGTAAGAAAAATTTGATAAAAAATATTACATGAGTACAATATAAAACGTTTTAGACAAGTAGACACTATTTGACTTTCATGAGTCTAACTAATTTTTTATTTAGACCAGTCCTCATTTCTTTATGTAATATAAATAACTTCTTAACCGGTTAACTTGCGAACTTTCCCCATTGGTTTCCCATTCAATCATTTCATTTTATTGCAATATGGCAAAACTACCCCATAACTTGTTGATACAGGAAAAAATAAAGAGTAAATAGTTCACTCATACTCTTCGCTTAAAACGCGGGAATCTTTATCGCTTTTTTAAAATAACTGTCTTTTTAATTATTGAGAAATATGTTTCTGGTGCTCTCTAGGTATGGCTTTAGCTAAATCTTAACGGTCAGTTAAAAACGAATTTAAAAATGAATTCTTAAGATAGACAGCACGCCATTACAAGACATAAAATTACACTGCAGTGTAAATTTGGAGATGCTCCTTATTAATGTGCGAAAAAATTTTATTGGAGCATCATAAGCTACAGCATACAGCTTTAAATAGTTATAATGAATGTAAACAATCGTAACAAAACTGATAATTTAAGGATTATCATATTCCTCCAAGGAAAAGTTTGCCAATGGACTGCCCATTTTCTCTGGTAATGTCGAATCTTTCTCTGGGCAATCATAAAATGGTTATGTTTAATTATGTACTCGTGAAACGATTTGTGTTTATTTGGTTAATTTACGTCCGAAGCTGTGTTTATACTTAAGGCATTTGTCAACATCTATTTCAGTATAATAAAATCATATTAAATGTTTAAATTCATCATTGAGGATCCCCCAAATAATTCAGTTAATCATCTTTCTATAAAAAGGTAAATAATGCAGAAACAAACCTGAACATTGTACACCAGCATCTTCATAATGTATACAATCATGTGATCCCCATTCTGTATGTGAACAACTCGAAATAATATTTTCATTTCCTACACAACGAACTTCGTCTAACCATATTCTTCCACTGCCATAAGGAACATTACCTCCTAGTAAAGCCCTGACAGCATTGTCATAACCAAGTTGTCGACAAACAACTTTAGCATCGTTTATATCCCAGCCATCATCACAAATTGTTCCCCATTCTCCATTGTAAAATACTTCTACACGACCTTTGCCAATAGAACTTTTTGGTCCCCGAAGTCTTACAGGGTTATTAACTGATAAAAAGAGAAAATAAAGTGATATTCAAAACATAAAATTCTCAACTCCGAAATATTCTAAGTTACATGAATACATATAAAGTATCCTAATATATTAGATGCCATTGTAACATCTTCTAAGGCGAAATTAATGAATTAAATTAGTAACAAAAATTTGATAAAAAATATTACATGAGTACAATATCAAAACGTTTTAGACAAGTAGACACTATTTGACTTTCATGAGTCTAAATAATTTTTTATTTAGATCAGTCCTCATTTCTTTTTGTAATATAAATATCATATTAACACTTTAACTTGCGAATGTTCCCATTAGTTTTCCATTCAATCATTTGATTTTATTGCCATATGGCAACACTGCCCCATAACTTGTTGAAACAAGAAAAAAATAAAAAGTAAATTGTTCATATGGACTCTTCGCTTACAACGTGGAGAAGTATATCTTATTTTTAAAATAACTGTCTTTTTTCTTATTCAGAAATACGTTTTTGTTGCTCTCTAGGCATGGCTTTAGCTGAACATTAACGGTCAGTTAAAAACAAATTAAAAATGAATTCTTAAGATAGACAGCACGACATTAAAAGACATAAAATTACACTGCAGTTTTAATTTGGAGATGCTCCTTTTTAATATGCAAAAAAGTCTAATGCAGCTACATAAGCTAAAGCCTGCAGCTTTAAAAAGCCATAATTAATGTAAAAATCGTAACAAAACAAATAATATAAGGATTATCACATTCCTCCACGGTAAATTTGGTCAATAGGCGGTCCTTTTTCTCTGGTATTACTTAATCTTTTTAATGGCGTAGATATAATAGGTTATGTTTAATTATGTCCTAGTGGAACAAGTTGTGTTTGTTTAGTTATAAATCTTACCCTGGCACGAGTTACATTCTCCTGAGTATCCTTTCATACACGTGCAGCTTAATGATCCATTAATTTTACGATAGTAAGTGTTGGGTCCACATAAAGGAAGTCGAAAAGTGTTTGTCGCTATATAGAATAATAAAATTAAAAATAAAATCAACTATGTATTTTAAAAGAAAACATGTTCTTTCTCAAAGAACACAATTTGTCATTCAGTATCCACTATGACGTACCCAGCTAGGAAATTTGTGATGTATTGTCGGTATCTTTGGTGTTCACGAATATCGTAAAAACAAAACAATTAAATAAATGTTGAAAATTTACAGAGTATGAACAGATTTGCTGGCTGTTCGGGATACTATAAAGGATGTATCTAAAGAAGTTAGATAATTAAAAAATGTTCAGGAAATTATCAATTCATCAATATTTCTAACAAAATGTGCCAAAGCTCATGTATTTTGGCATTGCCTTGTCTTGATTATTTAAAAGTAAAATGAATTAAGATTTAATCTCGAAAACCATGAGAGTACTTCGTAATTGCCTCACATTGAACTGCATGCAGAAAGAAAATGAAAAGTTTCAAATCTAGTTTAATCCAAAGATTTAAAAGTTTGAACTCTGTTTTGCAATGTACTAAATATTTAGAAGATTTGATAAATATTAAGCTCACTGCACAACATGCTCAAATTGGACGTTTTTGTCTTTCATTCTATTTTCATGAATTTTTTTCTTATTTAAAACTGATTACAAGCCAGAGTGATTGTTGAAATGATGTAAGAAACAATAAAGATTTAAATTTAACACCCAACAAATTTGGAAAGAATAGACAAACGGCAAAAACATCCAGATTAGACACTTTGCACTTTGAACTTAATGTTTATCAAATTTTCTATATATTTGGAAGGAAGAACAACCGTTTAATAAGGCAATGTAACTTTAAACTTTTTAACGTCTTTCAATTTTAAGTACATTAGCGTGAGAGTTTTTGCAAGTCTTAGATTGCTAAGTCAAGTAAAAAAATATTTAACTACCGTTTGAGTCAGGAGTGATATTGTGTATAGCTACAGCCAAATCAAGATAACCGTTGTTTACAGGAAGAAAATATTTACGCCTCGTACGTTGATCTGTTGTGTTTTGGACACTAACGACACTTCGTCCGACACTAGTTATGATATAAATGAAATCTTTAAATACTGCCATGGGACCTCCTGAAGTTCCAAAATCAATTACATCATGGCAGTAGTAATCACAAGAAAAAACATTTCCCTTTGAAACTCGCCAATAAATCTTCTCTTTAGCCATGTCAAGCGTTAGATCATGTGCTATTGATTGAAGTGAAACTGAAAAAATATCATGTTTATTTGCAGTCATGCTCCACAACCATAAGAAAACTTTTGTACTTTCTGCCAAGAATATATACCTTAATAAAAATATTTGTATTGTACATTAGTTTTCTCTATGCGTAATGAAATACATAAACAATAAACAGGCTAATATATGCAAGATCAAAAAGATAGAATATTTTTTTAATTTAGACAAAGATGTTGTCAAAGTATTCAGAACTACTTTCATATATAGACGGTTTAATGGAACATATTCATGAAATTTGATAATATAGCAACATAAAGCTATTGTAGCTAACAGGAAAAGATCATCTTTAATATTTGAAATCCCTCGTTTGAAAACCGAACTAAAATATATGAAGTAATTAAACATTGCATGTGATTCAGAGCATAATAAATGTAATATGTTATTTTTATTCACATAACTTATATGATTGGTATTGTCTGAGATTATTGTCGGAATGAGTAATGCTGTAGTTTAGAGTGGCTGCCGAATGAATTGTGTCAGTAATTGATAATGCTGAAATATAGCTGATGCGTGGAAATTTTGTTCGAATTGAAAATTTGGTGTTGGTAAATGATATGCACCATTTAATGTAGATATAAAGTTAAGAAAGCTTTGTCATTTCAATTTCAAGCTTTCTTAATTTTTCAGTTTCATCTTGCATGAAAAGTAGCAGCTCTTTGGATGGATCATCGTCTACAAATGTCTTTAAAAGAGCTATAGCTTCACAAACATTGTCTTTTGTTGATACTTTTTTCAGTTTGTTTGGACAAACGATTTTTACAACTATCTTAACCTTCTCTTTTAATTGTCAAATTTTTTCATTGTTTTTGAAAAATTAGAAAAGATTGACACTGGTGCTAGCGCTATTGGTATCATTTAAAATGATGATTCTATTGCCATGTCATGTTCGTGTTCTTAAGAATCTCTGATTAGACAAGCTGCAAAAACTGCTTGAACACTATGGCCTTTACTTTATCGAAAATGTTTGATGCAACTGGCAGTTTTAATTATCATCGCAGCATATTTGCATTCTCAATACATTTCTTAAATATATTACTCATTTGAGTAACAGTAAAGTCCATGTCTTCTTGTCGTTCATTTCACCTTTCCCCGAACTCTTTAAAACTTTCTCGTATATACTACCGTTCTTTTGGTTTTGTGTTTGTGAAAATTAATTTTTCTTGTAATATGATAAAATTAATGCCCACATAAAGTTTTAATTAGAGCCATAGAAATAGACCAAAAGTTGTAAAATGGAATTTATACTGACGTCCTTAGTCAAGACATATTCAGTCAAATTATAATTTATAATGAGATGTTAAGACAAGATATTGTATTTACAAAAGGTGTTAAATTACGACTTAAGAGGCGGTGTCAAATGGAATTGATAAAGAAGTTGGGAAGTAAAATATACTGAAGCTAAAGAGGTTAAGTGCAATGGAACTTTCTTGAACGATGAGTGAAGACTTGTATTTATTGATAGAAGGCTCTCATGAATGGAGAGTTCATAGGAATCGTTAGAAGAGGAATTTTTAAATTTGTAAATTATTATAACATATTCAGAAAGTTCTCGCTTCACAGGCTTTTCAGACAATTTCTTTTAATCTCTAACTTGATTATTATCTTCAGATTCATCATCAGTTGAGCAACTACAGATCTAACGTTTGCATAAATTACACTAAGAAACACTGCATGAACTAAAGGTAGTGGAACGATTTTCAATTCTGGTGATTTGATTGGATGTGTGATTGGATTTATTGAAGGGTAGTGTGCAGACACTTAATTTGCAGCTCTTGACTTTTCAATATACTCCGCCATTCAATGCAAGTTAAAAGAAGGCTTGAAAACTTGATATATTGATTTTTTTTTAAATTGCCACATTTTTTGAAAACTAAAATGCTTTTTTATATTTTTGATGTAACTACGTGGGAATGTGCGCAGTTTTTTTATCTTCAATAAAAAACGAAAAGTTGAAGTTTTTACGTTCACCACCTTCGTGAATTTTTTAAAACTTTATTGCTATTTCGTATTGAGATTGTTGCACAGTATATGAAAGGGTATATGAAAGCAAAGCAACAAACAATGCTCCCAATCTGTTGAAATCTTTTGTGTAGGGCATATCTTATTAAGCATATGATTACCATGGAGGCGTCAAGCAAATTGCATTTTCTGCTAAAGAAAAGCGCTCTTAGGTGGCCAGCCGAAGCCAGTAATCTTATTAAATGTACAACACCAAGTTGCACAGTGAAGTTGGACTACTTTTTGTTTTGGTTGTGGCAAACCAATATTCTGTGAGTATTTGACTAAAGTTTCATCGGTAAAGTAATTATTTAATATTTTATTGCTGTTTCTATCGGTCTGTTTTATTTTATTTAACGACTTCATCAATTATAAACATTGATCCTCCGTTGTTACATATTTCTCAAAGCTTTTGGTTGCTCAACATAAATATCGCTGTCGATTTTGCAATTTCAGGATCTGCATGTTATTTTCTACTGCATGTGTGCTGAATAATCACACGAGCTGAGCTCATCCTTTCAGTTGGTTTGAAATGCCTCATAGTCACGCAATAAAATATTGCTGGCCAAATCTCGTTGATTTTATTGTCGTTTGTTTCTTTATACACAAAAATACTTAATATTTCCCTCGGTAAAAGCGAGTTTTGTTTTCCCTCGAAAATCAATATTTTTTTATTCTTGTACTTTAAATAACAGGCCATAATACGGACTTCAAAAATTCAACTTTTCTATTAAATTAAAATGCCGTCTCTAATAATAAAAACTCTTACCTTACTTAAGAAAACCCTCCAATAGATTGACATAGTTTGATTACGCTTACAAGTAAATAAAAAATTTCAATATCGCCTTACCCATGTTTTGAGTCAAATGCAATGCTGGAAAATTGTAAGCCTGGTTGAAGCCTCATAACACTTGTAATTTTCTTTTCAAATGAATTTGGTAGATAATGTTCGTGGAGTCAATGTAAAAGATACGACGACCAATCCAGTCAACTGTAATATCATGAACAGAAACATTTTTCGCAAAATTTCGTTTCTAGTTAAGTCAAAATTTCCCCGTTTGATGTCTTTGTCATCAATGTAGTAAAGCAAATTCTCAACTACATCAATTTCTATGTCATTATATTTTGATGCATTGTCAAATCTATTCTTACTGGATCCATTAATAGTGCTGACATGAATATCTCCAGTAATAGAATCAACAGAGTATACTTTATCAAAGCTCATAATAATCAAATATGGCTTTGGATAAACATCTAAATAAATAATAAAAACATATAAATAACAACGATGCGAGTGGATTAAAAAAATGCAAATTTTTAGAGACTAGAATAAGTATATTACGATCATAAAATTTGGTGAAAGACCAGAATAAGTATTTTTAGAAAGATCTTTTCACTGTAGAAACATTACCAATAACTGAAAATAGATTGGCTCCGTTATTTCTACCTATTATTGTTGCATAAATTTTTTTGGTGCTATGAACAAGAAACTATGAAAATTTTTCAAATCTAACGATTATACCTTTGTAAAAACACATTTCTGTTTGCATTTTCATCATTTCTTTGTTGTATTTTTTTACTTCCTTGCATGCAGTTGTGTTATCGTCATTGCCATTTTTATCAACGCAAGTTTCCATCCATTCTTTCACGTTGTCTGTTAATGTCTCTAAGCTTTTCTTGCAGATTGATATGTCGTCATTACCATTTACTATTTGTACACTAATAGACAGTATTATAAGAGTCCCAAGAAACGCTTTTGTTGAGTTTGATATCATCTTTATTTTCTATTTGTTAGAAGATGGATGATTATTAATTTCTTTAAAGCTTTCGTAGTAAAACATTTACTTTTTTATGAAAGGCTTATCATCAATATAATCATATAATCAGTTTGTTTTAACTTTTGGGGATGTATAAATCAAGTATTGATTTCTATAATTATGTAACATTTTAACTTCCTTCTCCAAAAAGTATTTCACGTTTGCTTTCAGAAAATTGATGATGATTGAATATTGTTGCAATAGATTAGGCAAATTGTTCATTATAACGACTCATGCTTACAACAATTCATATAAGTAGGTTTTACCAGCATAGAAAGTTTTTTGAATAAATAGATATAAGGTTTCTAGGAAACGAAAGCATAGAAAGAAATAATACATTTTAATGTCCACTATAAGCAAATGACGCAAATTATGAAATTCACCAAGAGCAGTTTACAAAAAATTTAAAATCGGTTGATTTCAAATTTGCTTTTGTTAACTCAGTTTACCAGATGAATGGGAAAAACGTATTGTTAACTAAGCCAGCAAAATTAAGTGCAAAAAAGTCTGTTGCTTAGTGTTTAATAGACTCGTTTGTCTCTGTAACTACATGCCGTCTAGTTACAGAAAAGTAGGCCCTTTAAGCAATACATGATATTCTGCTTTACAACATCTGTTAGTCGTATAAAGAAGTTCGACTCTCCTAATTATATAAGTTATGAGTTAAATGAAATTTATAAGCATTTTGACAGAGCTGCTAAAGTAAAGAAAGTCTAAAAAGCTAAATAGAGGAATGCAACTTTGCAGTATTAAAAAATTCCTACTTGTTCAAATATTTTGTTTCAATATTATTGCAATATTGAATGATTGTTGCAGAAGAAGCAAGAAACATAGAACAAACAAGAACAAACAAGAGCCAAGAAATGTATCATTTGTTCTGCATGTACTTCTTGCTCTTTATAATGACTTCGGTATTGATGTTTGATGATAATTTGCGCCATTTTAATTTGTTGATTTATGTACCTCTCTTTCTTTATCATTTCCTTCAATCATAAATTACAGTTTTAATGTCCAATCAAGTATTCTTTATCACACATGCATTCAAGTTTTAGCTTACTATTTCCTATGGCGTATCAATGTAATTATGATTAAATACAATTCCATACATTCCTAAATATCAATTAGTAGAACTTTATCGTTGGTTGTGATCAATCATTTCATTTTTGTTTTCATCATAAGGATAAATATAGATGATAAAATGATTTGCGAAACGGTAAAATTTTTTTAAAGAATTTTAGACTAGTCAAATTACCAGATGGCAGCTATGTATATATGATGCATGCTGCGCTACCCTTAATTACAGAAAATGCTTAAAAAAACATACAAAAATGTTTCATAAAGCTTTAAGTATTTTATAAGATAAAGACTGTGTTAGATTATCTGTTGGATTACGTATAAGCATGACTATGATAAATGAAATGTATGTTCTTAATAAGGAAGTGAAATCCATAAGAGCTATTGTTCTTGCATTATGTTATAAACTCTGAATTTTAAGTTTTCTTTATGTTTTCTTTGCTTACCATTGAAGAGGAAATTTGGCTATCAATGAAATTTCTCCTTCGAATTCTGATAAGTTATTTTCTATCCTTCTCCAACAGCAGCTTAGAAAAAATGTAACTGAAACAAAACTTGTCGTGTCTTAAAGTGCTAGTAATATTGGCTTTTTGAATTTTGACATCAACACAAGACGAGTACTTTTCCGTGGACGGGGACACAAATTTTCATGATTTTTCATTATATTTTGGGATGAAGAGCCATAATTGCTGAAATTTAGTGTCAGAAAAAATATGCAACAAAAATATTGTTTCAGCAAGTCCAAGAAATACTATTTACATTGAAAATAACAGACCAAATTATTTTAATTCCTTATAACAATACCCGGGAAAAAATGTTTATTTTGACGTTATTCAAATTGGTCAACTATTTCAAGTGTCTCTACAATCTAATAGAAAAATATGCACTGCAGATGTTAGTTTCTGTTCATAGATAAGATACAATAAGCGAAAAAGAGTATTGTCTATAAAGAACTTTTGTTCAATTTTTAGAGTTCATTATATTATGTTTTATCCATTTCTACTTAACCCAACATGAAACTTTCTAAAGTACATCATTTTCAAACAAGGCTAGTTTATTAGGTGATTATCTTTATAGATGAACTATATACGTGACGGTGACACAAATTTTCATGGTTTTTATATATATTTGGATAAAGAACAATAATTGCAGAAATTTAGTGTCAGAAAAAATATGCAACAAAAATATTGTTTCAACAATTCCTAGAAATATCATTTACATTGAAAATAACAGACCGAATTACTTTAATTTCAAATAACAACACCCGAAAAAAATATGTTTATGTTGACGTTATTCAAATTGGTCAACTATTTCAAGTGTCTCTATAAACTAAAAGAAAAATGTGCACTGCAGATGTTAGTTTCCGTTCATAGATAAAATACTACAAAGCCAAATAAGGAGTATTGTCTATAAGCAATTTTGTTCAATTTTATAGTTCATTATAATATGGTTTACCCCCTTTTTACTTAACCTAACAAGAAACTTTCTAAAGTACATCAAATTGAAACAAGGCTGGTTTCTTAGGTAATTATCTTTATACATCCCATTTGGCATGATTTTAATTTCTCATGTTTTTATTATATTTAATTCATTTCAACGTATTCATTCCCTTTCCTCTCTCAAAAATACTGAAAATAAGGACAAAAAAGACACATTAATGTTGTAAACCCTCCCCCCTTAAACATTTTCAGAGCAAAATTTACGAATTACATTATTCATGATATACATGATATTCTGTTTACAACATCTGTCTGTCGTAGAGAGAAGCTCGACTCCATAATTATATAAGTTCTGAATTGAATGAAATTTCTGAGCATTTTGACAGAACTGTCAAAGTAAAAAGTCTCAAGAACTAAATATAAGAATGCAACTTTGCAGTATTGAAAAATTCTTACATCTTCAAATATTTTGTTTCAGACAGTTAAAAGGCGTTTTCCATCTTCAAAAATGGTCTTGTAATATTGAATAATTGTAGCAGAACAAACAAGAGCCAAGAAATGTATCGTTTGTTCTGCATATATTTCTTGCTCTTTAAAATGGCTTCTGTATTTATGTTTGATGATGATTTGCCCTATTTCAATTTGTTGAATTATGTACCTCTTTCTCTTGATTATTTCTCTCAATCCTAAATCTTAGTTTCAATGTCTAATCAAATATTGTTTATCATACATGTATTCAAGTTTTAGTTTACCATCATTCTCATGTAAAAACATAAAACACTTTGCAAAGATTTCATAATTCTTAAATGTTTATGATAGTTTAAAAAAAATTTTTTTGTTATCTGTATTTAGACTAAAAATACTTAATGATTGTTGCTCTAAATATTTTTGATGTAGCTACTATTTCCTCTGGCGTATCAATGTAATTATTATTTAATACATTTCCAGACATTCCTAAATATCAATTAATAGAACTTTATCGTTGGTTGTGATCAATCAATTCGTTTTTGTTTTCGTCATAAGGATAAATATGAAATGATAAAGAGATTTGCGAAACGGTAAAATTTTTTAAAGTATTTTAGACTAGTCAAATTACCAGATGGCAGCTATGTATATATGATGCATGCTGCGCTACCTAAATTACAGAAAATGCTTAAAAAAAACATACAAAAATGTTTCATAAACTTTAAATATTTTATAAGATAAAGATTGTGTTAGATTATCTGTTGGATTATTTCTAAGCATGACTATGATAAATAAAAAGTATGTTCTTAATAAGGAAGTAAAATCCATAAGAGCTATTGTTCTTGCATTATGTTATAAACTCTGAATTTTAAGTTTTCTTTAGGTTTTCTTTGCTTACCATTTAAGAGGAAATTTGGCTATCAATGAAATTTCTCCTTCGAATTCTGATAATTTATTTTCTATCCTTCTCAAACAGCAGCTTAGAAAAATTGGAACTGAAACAAAAATTGTCGTGTCCTAAAGTGCTAGTAATATTGGCTTTTTGAATTTTGACATCAACAAAAGACGAGT